GATTATAAACTACATAGAAACACACAAAGTATACAAATACACAGAAGCCCATATAGCAGCCCATGATGCACAGATAAACACACATTACACAAACCCATGCACACATACAAACACATGAACCGTATACATACACAGAAATACAAACAGGCCCAGAGGCAAGCAAACAACAAAAACACACAATACATGCAGACACAAACTACAAGATGACCCACAAAAGGCCACAGCTGAGCTCAGCGGCGCCCAGTGCCTCATTGCAGCTCTGCAAAGGGTTGAAGCAGTCTGAGCAGCAGCCCAGGGACCAAGGGCCATCTGTGTGAGAAGTGGTGGTGTCAGCGAACCAGCAGGGGTCTCCAAGTCACTGTACTACCCAGAACATGTGGGCATCATCTCTGTACACAGACATGGCCTGGGGCACCACACACAGACACACCTCTTGCGGGACCAGGCATTATACAGGGATTGACAGGAGCTCAGAGGCTTTTGGCTCTGTCTACAGAGTAAATAGCACAGCACAGCAAAGTCTTCTTATCAGAAGAACTTCCATAATCTCCTGGGAAAGCTGCTTACTCCTGGAGTCCAGCTTCTGCTATGTATTTGGTTTTTTGTTTTGGGGCTTTAAAATTTTTAATAAAAATATTTTAAAGATTTAATAATCTTTAAATATTTAAATCTTTAAATGTTTTAATATTTATTATGTGTATGTCTGTATGTCGTGTCTGTGTATATGCACGTGTGTGTGTGTGTGTGTGTGTGTGTGTGTGTGTGTGTGCCCTCAGAGGAAAGAGGCTCTAGATGCTCTGGAACTGGAGGTAAAGGCGACTGTGAGTCACCTGATGTGGGTGCTGGGAACCAAACTCAGGTCCTCCTCAAGAGCAGCAAGCACTCTTAACTGCTGAGCCATCTCTCCAGCCCCTAAAGCTTTTATTTTTATTTTTTGACTCTCATTTATCCTTTGACAATGTCATACATGTATGCAATATATCTTGAACCTATCCACCCCCAACTCTTCCCTCCTACTCCCAGATCCACCCCCACCTACATCTCCCTTTTCCCCTCTCATGTTCCTATTTATTTTTTGCATTCTTCCGAGTCCAATTAGTGCTGCCACTGGAATACTGACTGATCTTGTTGGCTTGATCTTGTGCAGGTGACCATAGCTGCAGTGAGTTCATGCATGCAATGGCCATGTCGTGTCCAGAAGACAGCATTTCACAGCACTCCTCCCTCCAGCTCTTATATTATGCCCACCCTTTCTTCCACCGTATTCCCTGAGCCTTGAGGTGGGGGGTAGAGGTTGATATAGATGACCCATTTAGGGCTGAGCACTCAACATCACTCTTTCTCAGCACTTTGACTAGTCATGAATCTCTACATTAGTATTTGTAAGGCATAGGCTTTATACCAAAGCACATTACATGATGATGGGGTGTGGATAGGGGCTGCCTAATCAGCAAGTACCAGCAGCACATGGACACTATGACACCCCAGTTCCATGCACAAAGTGTTCAAGTGTGCTGAGATCATGCACACTGTGAGGTTTGTAGATGCCTCAATTCAGACTGCTTGTGTAGCAAGTGTGGTCATGGCTCATGACCACCAAGCATAGCAACCTGGTTGTAAGACAGAGAGCCTTGAGAGCCCATCATAAGGAGGATTACAACATCAGCAGTGCAAATATGGCCGAACATCAGGTTCCCTGTGCCTCACAGATTCCGCTTGTGTAGCTGCCAAATATTTGCAGTGGGCTCAGTTCCCCAGCTCCAGGAAAGGGCTGAATGGGCCAAATGGCCTTATCAATCTTACCCCTGCCACAGACTACCTCAGATCTCTATGCCCTAAAGCAATAGGCTTGACCTCTGGGGGCAGCTACTGGAGTGATGAGGCCCCCACATAGCAAGACTGAGCCTCCATGACCAGCTCCCCACAGCCAGTACCTAGCACCACCTATCTCTGGTCTTAGCTGGACCAGTGGATCAGTCCTCTCGATTGACAGAGTCCAGATGGGGTTTCCTTCTTGGCAGCTAGGAGTGAGCACTGGATGCAGATGGTGTCATCCAAAGCTTGCAGTGGCATAACCCAAGGATGGTCCAAAAACCTTGAAGGGAGATCAGTTTCCTCAGTCAGAAGTGATCAGGGCCAGTGTCAGCCACCTCAGGTTTCTCCTGAAGTAGGCAGAAGAGTTCAGGTACAAAATAAGATATAAGCAGGGAAGTTATTACATAAGGAAGTTGCTATACCGTCGTTGAATGGCTTGGAACATTCCTGAAGAAAACTCCAAATTAGGGCCTCTGCATATTCTTGGCAGTCAGCTGCATCACTGATATCAAACCTATAGCCCAAAGGTGACTATTTTGAAGTACACAGTACATGCATGTAAATTCCAACATGTAAATCCCCTTGTTCATGTGGTGGGTTTTGAGTAGATATGTGTGAATATTTTATGTTTGTAGGTGACCCAAGGAAGGCAGCCTTTCTTTTCGTCCTTGACAGCCATGGAACCCACGCAGGTGCTACACTGGTGGTTCAGCACCACGGCCGACATCTACCCATGTGGGGATCTCTGCCGGGATCAATGATAAAAAAAATGTGGCCACCATTACATGTTGGTAAGAATAGGCACAAAAGGCCAAGGATGACTCTAATCCTGGTGGTAGAGTATATTTACACCCCCCACAGCAGAGCTCAGCTATCCTGAGTGCCTTCCTGCAGCTCTCGGAAGGGTAGGAGCCATCCTTAGCAGCATCTAGGGAGCCTAGGGACTCCGGTGTGAGGACTTCTTTGACCTGTATTGCCCAAGGCACCTGGAAGTGACCTCTGCAGACAGACATGGCTGGGGTGCTCACAAGCAACCAGCACCAAGAGCTCCTGTGACTTTCTGGGGAGCAGTCACACTCACTGGCCCTCCATACTAACTTCAGCCTCACATCCCTGCTTTGCCTCCTGAATGTAAGTTCCATCTGTGGAGCTCCAGAGGATGAGAGGGTTCACTAGAACCACTGGTCCTAAAGTCAGACAGAAGCCTCTAGGGCTGGTTTTCTGTCAGAGATAACGACCCTCACACCTTTCTTCCAGCAGCCAAGGGAGGAAGGAGCCTGAACCTCCAGCACCGCATTCCCTGACAGCACTGTCTGCTCCCAGGATCCACAGCCTTCTTACTGCCTTGTTCTCAGACCACAGGGTTCCACCGAAACAATGGGATCTTAGTGATGGAGACAAGCTTAGGCAGAGATCACTGCTATGAAGTCTTTTCCTACAAAAAAAAAAAAAAAAAAAAAAAGATGGATTAATCAGCTTATGTTAATGCCAAAACATGAGCTTTACCGAGGAGACCAGCAAAGGATCACAAGACCCTAGGCCACAAGGCCCACTTAAACTCCCAGGAATCTGACACTCACATGCTGCCCAGGCTTCTCTGGTAGATTAATCCTTGTGTAGCAAGCACCCCAGTCCCAGACAACATTACAGCTAAACATGTACCAAGTCGGGCCCAGGGCATCACTAAGGCCTGGGAGCCTTAGCGTCTCAGAGAGCCTGCCAGCTCTACTAATTGAATTCAGAGC